TACTTTAGGAAAAACTATCTCAATGAATGAATTATTCATGTTTTCAAGTCCTTAAAAAAACTCATATTTTCAATTAACTTGTATATAAACATGAATGATTTAAGTATATTTTTAATTGGATACGATAGAATTGAGTCATTGAGCCATTGAGGGAATAGTTTTAAATGTGGAGTATTTAAATTTTCATTAGCAAGATTGATTAAAATATTCACAGAAAAAATTAACACTATTACCAATCAATTTTGGAAAATGGAAGTCTTTGATAAAGTAAGGCTGAGTGTATGAGTCTCTGATGCGCATGGGTGTATGAACCTACTGTCATTCTACTGACTGAATCATCGTGACTAACCTCCCCACCATCCTGTTGAGTCGGGGTGAAGGCTCCTGGGGGCTGGGGTGAGAGATTCCATCTTTTGGATCAATGGAAAATGGAAGTCTTTGATAAAGTAAAATGTACTACTCCATTAAATATCGGAGTGTCCATTAGGATGCGGAAATTCCTTTATGGGCGAAGCCAAATGCGCACTGTATTAAATGTGTGATAGTGGTAAGTGGGGACCCAACGGGGTTTGGAGCATCGAAGATGGCGGGTCGAAATGTGCGTGGTCGGCTGGTGGTGCCGGGTACAAGACCGGCCTCACACACAGGAGTGGTGAGGATCGAGCCGTGGTTCCACGTGGCCCGATAAGATCAGCGTCGTACGTGGACTGATGTGATTGATAATGGACCGGTGGGTCCGAGGGATGGGTTTGTCTTGTGGGAGCACAGTACATATATCAGCAGCATGTAATGTACGTACTGCTATCCAACAAAGAGCCTATGTTGGGAAAACATGACAATGACATGTAACTATTTCACGGTTTTTTACTCGCACAAACATATTTATATTCACTTCTCGTACACACAAAAATCCTCCTTCCCTTATAAACTAAAAAAAGGATGACAACCGACCATTCCGGCTCACTGGATAGGAGGTTACCGTGTCCTAGCGAAGGTTTTGTGTTCGAATCTCGCTAGGCACATGAAGTGAAAAGGAGCGAAGTCTTGCTTCCAATGATTCTTTCTTCCTTCACGGAGTTGCACAACGATTTAGAAGGGAGCGGATGAAAATTCAGGCCGCGAGTTCGCGTGTTGGGAGGACCTTTCTGGATACATATGAAAGGAAGCCCTGCATTGTAGGAGGACCCTTCTGGATTCAGTTGAAAGGAAGTCATGCTGGATTCATCTTGCGGTACCAGTAACGATGAAGGCTGACTGTGATAATATCCGGATTTGACTGTCTAGAGGCTTTGGAGGGTAGTCAATAGACTCTAAGATTAGGGAAGCGCAAGCACCGACACCTGGACTATCAAAAATAAGGATGACACCTATCGCCCATGGCTCCTCACAGGGATGGATTTATGGGGGCGACCACCTTTTTCGACTTTCAATTTTTTCGATTATATATGTACAATTTTCATAAAATTTTCATACTTTATTTAGATATATTTATGTCTGATAGTCCTCATTAACTTTTAATTTTAAAAATTAATACATTTGCTTACATAATATTGTATAATAGGAAGTACTTAAGAAGATATTTAAAAGGAGAAACATCTAAAATAATTTATCATTATTTGGACAAATAAAAAATAGAACGACTCATTGAATTGGTTTAAGATTTAAGATAGTTATTTGATAAAAATCCTAATTTGGAAATGTTTAATTTATTTTTATTGGATAATTAGTACTTAATTTTGTAAAATATCAAACAATATTAAATAGCAGACACACTAGTTAAATAATTTTTAGATAATGTGAAGTCAATCCAAAATATAAATGTTTGAGTGACATTAAGTTACACAATTCATTACTTGTCAAGACCTTACACAGTTCATTACTTGTGGGAAATCAACACCCCTGCTCATGACCAGACACTTCGTCTGGATCTATCGTGACGTCATTCATTTTTTTCATCGATTTGTTAGTCTTTTTTATAACCGTGTCAATCATTTTTCATAAGGGGACCCACACCATGGATCAATTTGGCTCTAATATCATGTTAAGACTTGAGGTTTCATCCTAAAAGATCAACCTGATAGGAGGAGTAATGCAGATCTTAATACTCTCTCCGTCCCCCAATTAAGATCTCACTTTCCTTTTTGGACAGTCCCACAAATAAATTCACACTTCCCTACATTCCTTATTTGGCAAATTATCAATATCAAAACAATGTCAAACAGTGCCAAAACAGTGTCCAAACAATGTCCAAACAGTGTCGAACCAGTAAAATTTACCCCCCAGTAAATTTATTTTCTTAATATGTGGGAAATTCATCCAGTAACTTAATTGCGGGACGGAGGGAGTATATCACTTAATTATCTTAATATATCACTTAATGCCTTCACAATTATCCAGTGTGGGAAATCAACATTACTCCTTACTTTCTAAAACAATTTATTGCACACATGCATAATAAACTTTAATTATATGGAGTATATATTAGCACTGATACAAATATAATATACATCATCTATATGAATTAGTAACATTATATTATTCTAAACATAAATAAGCTCATACATACTATTGTAATATTTGGAAAATTTCTTGTGACTTACGAACGTACTCCCTTGGCAGATTAAAACTCTAATTCAAAAACCTAAATTTTATTCCGATAACATGCATGCGGATAAACAATGCATAAGTTATCTAAAAAGTATTGGTGGATGTGTATATTTTAGATTTTTTATCTTCAAATCATTTGATAAAATTTTATCCTTTTACTTTGAAATATTTTTTCTTTGATGTGTCATTTCTTACGCACTTCAGTTATAAAATTTGGGTAAAAGGGGCAAATAAGCCCACGCACTAACCAAAAAAGGTCAAATAAGCACTTATATAGGAGGCTCTGTCCGGCAGTCGCCATTTAGGGCAGTTCCTGGTGGAATTTTTCGATGAAAGGTTTTGAGAATCTTATTCATTAAGTCTAGTTTACTCATAGCAAATTTCAGCTAAGAATTCAATTGGTAAGACATTCAAAAAAATTCTTGAAGATAACTGCGTTTTTAACTGCGCATTTATCTTCAAGAATTCATTTGAATGCCTTACCGATTGAAGTTTTAGCTAAAATTTGGAATGAGTAAACTAGACTTAATGTATAATATGTGAGAATATTGGGAAAAGGTACTCCAATAGGAGTCCTGGATTGAATATATATAATAAAAGAGTTTGAGACATACAAGGAAACAAATATGCCTAAATAATATTCTATTACACCCCCTCAAACTGTGCGGGAGATACAACGCGCAGGTTGTCCTTCAAAAAATGAAATTGCTGACTAGAAAGACTTTTAATAAAAATATCAGCTAACTGCAGTTGTGTAGGAATGTACTTCACGACCAGGTCTTCATGAGCCACACATTCTCGGACAAAATGGTAATCAATTTGTATGTGCTTGCTACGAGCATGCTGGACAGGATTGGCAGTCAAATAGGATGCAGAGATGTTATCACAAAATAGCTGAACTGGAACGGTCACCGGAAATCCAAGCTCGAAAAGAACTGAACGAATATGCAATGTATCCTGGACAGTATAAGCAACAGCTCTATACTCAGCTTCGGTAGAGGACTTGGACACGGTTGGTTGCTTCTTGGACTTCCACGAGAGAAGATTAGGGCCCAAGAAAACTGCAAAGCCAGTCGTTGATCGAGATGTATCTGGGCAGCCTGCCCAATCTGCATCTGAATAAGCAATCACACAGGTAGCCTGACTGGTCGGCCGAAGCCATAATCCATGATCAAGCATTTTTTGAGCATATTATTCATTAAGTCTAGTTTACTCATACCAAATTGCAGCTAAAACTTCAATCGGGAAGGTATTCAAATGAATTCTTGAAGATAACTGCGCAGTTAAAAGCGTAGTTATCTTCAAGAATTTATTTGAATGCCTTCCCAATTGAATTGTTAGTTGAATTTTGGTATGAGTAAACTAGAGTTAATGAATAAGATTCTCAAAAAAAATCCACCGGGAACTACCCCAAATGGCGACGGCCGGATAGAGTCTCCTGTATAAAGGTTTATTTGACTTTTTTCGATTACTCCGTGGGCTTATTTGCCCCTTTTTCCAAAGTTCTATGATTTTGGTGACATCATCGATCGTTCCATCAATACCCAACTACCCAAGACATGCATAATTAGGGGAATCATGGCTTCATCATCAAATAAGATATGATTTCCTTCATATCTTTTTATATATTTGATATTTTAGTAAGTAAATCATACTACAAATCTTTAATAGACTTGATATTTTTTTCCGTATTTGTATTGATTAGCGATGATGACTGAAAAAATTTAATTTATTAAATCAATTAACATTAGAATCTTACTTGGTATAAGAACCTGAAACTTCTAATTATTTGAATATGTTTAAATCATGAAATTTGAAAGTCAAATACGGAGTACTTTTTTTACGGAAATGTCAAATTATATTAATTTAATCAATAATTTGAAATTACTACGATTCAAAAACTCAAAATTCGCCAAATATCTCATAACAAAATGAACGTACGTTGTCACAAATATGGGCAGTTTTACTAATGAAAAAATCCCACTTGTCCCGTTAGCCCAATAAAAAAAGTACGTAGCCCATGGGTCGTGCGGTCGTGCCCCAATAAGAATGTATCTTTGTTCACAATATAGTAGCCTAATCGAAGTATCTATCAGAGAATTGCTAAATGAAATTTGGAAGTGTTTGATTTTAAATGCTCCACATCACTTTTTTATTTATTTATCGAATATCAACAAAAGGGCTGTCCGGTTTATATATTACATGGTAAAAGTTACACTATTCACATATTCTATTTGGCTACATTTTATTTATCAATGTATTACAGAGTATAAATTAAACTTTTGAAAAATATTACTCCGTATTAAATTCAACTCATTATAAATTCCCAAAAATCAATTTTTTAATTTTTTTACTAATAGGTAATGAAACATATTAATAGTCAAATTCGTGCATTAGAACGTGAAATGTTGTCGGTTACAATGAAAAGAGAAACGAAGTACTTCGTACAAATTACAAAGCTTACACAAGACCGGGCACTAGACTTTTATTACAAAGAGTCGGGTTTGTTTGGAGCTGAGAGAATATGATATAGAGTAATATTAATTACTTTAATCTAATAAACAAATGTAAACCAATATATTTATTTGTTACGATTTTTTACTAAACGTAACCCACGCCAAATAAGCTAAGTTAATTAATGACCACTTTTAATGGTTGAGGTTACTGGATATTAAGCTCAGTTAATGACCACTTTCAGTTTGTGATTTTGTGCTGCATAATTGTCAATTGTGCAATTGGTATACCCCAAAACTTGTGTTAGATATGCTATTTTTACAATGATTTAAGCTCTCAATTTTGTACTTGCAACATCCCCTATAATTTCTTTTGTAGAATTAAAATATCCAGCAGCCAAACCAATATTTCTTCCATTGCCTGCTCTTCTTTAAGAACCTCAACCTACTCTCACTTTGTTCCATCTTCACCGGACTTTCATAGAAATCTGATGTTAATCTGTCCACCATAGCAAACAGAGCAAAAGGAAAATGAGAAATAAAACTTTTAGACACAAAACAGAGAAGAACAGATAAAAAAAAGACGTTTGTCAAGTAATGAGGACGAAAAAAGCTACTTGTACATGAAATATGTACATGCTTCCTAGTTGCATGTATATACAGACAGCATGTTCAGAAGCTGCCTGTGTACACAAATATGTACAAACTTCGTGTACAAGTAGCACGGCTGAATGAGGAATTGATGACAGACGGAAAACTTGCATAGGGAAGACAAAGGATTGGGCGCTGGCAGCGCTTGAGCGAAGAGAAGAGCAGTCGTGGTTCAATGAGACCGTGAGTGGTCCATGGAGCGGACTATCTGCGGATGGAAATGATTCATCTTCTGCACTATGCATACCAAATAGTGCTCCCAGGCTACTTTTTTGCACCTCACTAGTTTCTGTTTCCCCCTTTTGCTGTGTCTCGGTTTGACCCGCTAAACCGTGATCGTGTATCACGGTTTGAACATCACCAGAATCATTTATCTTAGTGTCGACGCTCTTGTTTTCATCGACAAACCGCTAGAACATCAGAACCTCGTAAAATATTATACTCCGTATGTTAGTTTGTAATTCAGTATGATATGCATTAACTTGTACCTGATTAGAATGAAGGTTGCCGATAACAATGTCATGTGAGCCAGAGATGTTGGGATCAAGAATAATCATCCTTTCCTTGTCTGTCTCAAAGTTTAGTAGACTGAAAATGATGTCATGGTCCAGCTCACAATTGTCAACAGAACATTTTCTATGAGAATGTTCTTCTTCTTCTTCACCTCCAAGAATAATGGGACTTCCCTGACCTTCATCTTCTCCAATATTAATGGAACTTCCCTCACATAAGTGATAGTTGCACTTGTATTGGAAACTAACAGCTACTTCTGGGATTTCAACCTCCCTCATATCACTGTCATATGAGGTTTCTATAACTAAAAGTTATAAGCTGTACAGTTTAACCCCTCACCAATTAATCATTTTTAAGCAACTCCTAATTTCTTCTTGTCGTGATTTTGCGCGTTAAAATGTAGGATAATCATAATAAATTTGGTAAAAACACTTTTCTCACTGTATTGAAGAATGCATAGTTTAGCTATTTTTCATAAAATTATTTCTTTATATTATTAATAAATACAGAGTACTTTTTTATATAATTCAGCAGATTTGACTAATTGAAGCACGTCATTATGAAATTTATCAATTTGAACAGGTTGAACTCATTTACTCATTTTTTTGTTAGCAAACTACTCCCTCCGCTCCTTTTTAGTTGCAACGGTCAACATTTCACATTTGTCAACGCACGTCTTTGACCGTAATTATATCTTAATTCTATTAGTAAAAAATATATTAAAAATCAGGTTTTGAAAATTTGTAATGAGATGAATTGAACAATATTTTTTTTAAAAAATAATTTTCATAAAATAATAGCGTAAAATGTAGTCAAAGTAGAGCATGTGAATAGTATAAAATTCAACGTGTTGCAATTAAAACGGAATGGAGGATAATGTCTTAAGAGATAATTCCCAAAATCAGATTAAAACATAAAACTTTTCCTCAAAATTCCTTCAAATTTGATTGTCATAACTGATTCACCTCTTTGACTTTGATCACTTTTGTTACATCACTATTGTCGAGTATTAAAAATGGACAAAACGAAAGTCGTGAACTAAATGTGGAATTGACACATTTAATTCACTAGCAAATCATACACTCAATGTATACATACGAGAAGATCTATACTTAATTATGGGACATCAAATTCTGCGCATTATTTTAAAGCTTTGAAAACTAATCAACAGAAGATGGGAATAAAATTCGAGTTGAGGAATCACACATACAGATTTTCAGTTAGCAGATGTTGATGATTGATTGCAGACGGGCCCTTTTTAGAATACGAGAATGCTGCTTCAGAGGAAGACCTGTCCGCCCTCCGTCCCAATGTACTGCTTAAAATATAATTGGAGATCAGTGTAATAAAAACCCTGTAAGTTATTGTTTGGATGAGAAACTTCATTTTATGGCAAGGAATAAAGTTAAATAAAGCAAGTTCTTGATTTGCTGTTAGGCCAATTTTGTAATACGTACGTAAGCTTGGGTGCATGTATATATGTGTATAGAGAACTTATCCTGTCCGAACGTTCGGACAGGAGACTCCATCCGAACACCGCCGTTCGGAGCGGTTCTTGGTCGATTTTTTGATGAAATTTTTATGGTATGTTCTTCATCAAGTCTAGTTTATTCAAAACATAATTCAGCTCAAAATTCGATCGGGAAAGCCTTCAAATGATTTTTTTGAATTTCACTGCGCCAAATTATACATAGAAAAACGCAGTCAACTTCAAAAAGTCATTTGAAGGCCTTCCCGATCGAATTTTGAGCTGATTTTTTTGGATAAACTAGACTTGATGAAAAACATACCATAAAAATTTCATAAACAAAATCGACCGGGAACTGCCCCGAACGGCGGTGTTCGGACGGAGGCCCAAGTCCAAACGTTCGGACCTGATCATTTGTGTAGGTGTATATACATAATTTGGTTCAAATATATATATACATAAGAGAAACTTTTTAAGAGCATACAAAGCGCCACATAATCCTGCCATGTCATTATATATAACAATTATTTACTTATTTTTATACCTTTTGTTTTTATTAGATTCTATTTTTGATTGCATATTGATATGTAAACAAAAATCCTTATAAATCCACCTTAATTAATTTGGTAAGCTTCAAATAAGTAAAATAATTTTTGGTTATCAAAGTGAAATTCTAATAACGTTTATTGATATGGAAACTAATTTATATTAGTTTACTACACCGAATTAAATAGAAACAAATATGCAAATTAGTTTACTTATTAATTTGACACCTATTAATAAATTAGTAAGATTCAAATAAGTAAATAATTAAAAATGAAATTAAAAATTATAACCAACATAAAGTATATATATTTTCACAAGTAAATATGTTTAGCTTAGCCAAATAAGTAATTTTTTTTGTTGTTTCTTTATTTTACACCTAAAATTCAAATATGCCTTCACTTTTCAAATAGATTCATAATCCAAATTAGAAAATCTTTATAGGTTTATGAATTCCTACTTTTATTTTAATAGAATGTTTTTAATTGGATTGATTTTAATAATTATAACAATATGTCAATAAGTCACATAAAAACAGACATCTAATAGACCATATTAATTCATACCAAATCAAACCTGAAATTTTAATTCAATTAAAAACGTTGTTATTAATGAGTAAACGATAAGATCTAACAATTAAGAAATATAGAATCTTTTTATTATTGGGTTCATAACAATTATGTTTACTTGAGATGCTTATGTAGAAGATCAATTTAACTTTTTTTTTTCATATATTTTTTCTTTGTTTCACAAATGGAATATATTTCACATATATTTTTCATGATTCAGAAGATTCCACCTATTTAACCAGAATTCAATCAATTTCAGCAAAATACGTTAATTCTATTTACTTTAGTATTATCAAATAACAGACTCTATATTAGACTAAGTTTATTTTTCTTTTAAATCACATTATATGTGATCCGATAGAAATTAAATTTCAAATTAACTAAATTACATACTGCCCGTGAATCACACGGGCTTGAAAGCTAGTAAGAATATAACTTAGAATATTTTTAATAAGATTATAATTTTGTGGTTTCCTCTGTTTAAACCTGGTTTAGTCTAAACTGACTTGGCCTAGTCCAATAAATGTCGGTTCTATGTGAATTTATAACTGTAAAAGTCTGATTTGGTCAGATCTGAAGTTTGAACTAGCTAGTCTAGTCTGGGCTTGAAATCAACCCAATTAAAAACATGGTCAATGAGAGAAATGAGAATGAATCTGTAGCGTATGATTTCACAATTGTACACTTTGAAATTAAATGTTATTACCGTGCTGAAAAATGCACGTAATGGAATATATTTCACATATATTACAAAAATGCGGTGACATTTTTGTAATAAAATGAACTTTTTATGCCATTACAAAATGTGCATTAACAAGAAATGTGCAGCATGCTCCACCAGCCTCTATATATGTACACATATATGAAGTATTATATGTGTGTGTGAACATGCATGCATATTATATATGAGGATGATTTCAGCTAGCGCATTGAATTTGAATCTAATGACTTAAAAAAGTACTATCTTCATTCCACATTGATTTACATAGTCAACTTTGATTTGGTTAAACGATTTCATTTTATTCACTTAATTAGGATATCAGTTTTTAATTATATTCTAATTTGGATTTTACAGCTGTATAAGGATTTTAATGTAATTTCTGAATACATGAATTTTAATTATCAAAATTGATTTAATTATCAATAGAGAAAATTTAACTTTATCATTGGTTAACCAAAAAATGTTGATTTTGAAAATTATTTTGGATTGGAGGGACTATTAACAATACAATAGACTTCATAAAAATGCGTTAACAATTTCATAAATAATTGTTTTTTTTTCATCGGATTTTTTTTATATTTAGGAAAAAAAGTACAACATTAAGAAGGAAAAGCGAAACAAAAAGTTTTATTGTCACATTAAACTCTCATAGTTTTATTTTATTTGAACTTACCTTATATGTACATATTTTTAGAAGGAAAAGCGAAACAAAAAAAACAAGCGCAATTAACAACAAGAAAGAGAACACCCAATCCAAAGAATAACAAAAGTTTCTCCCAAGAAATCTTACAAATACTTAGATTGGTCTTCCAAATCTTACTCTTGATTGAGATCTAGTTGTCATAAGATGTGATTGCTGATTCATTTTCATGTATTTTTTATTTATTTAGATTCTCTACAGGCAATCAATTTTCTCTCATTACTAGCAAAGATTTATAGTTTTTTTTTATTTGCTTCATAGTCCCATATATTCTTCCAACACCAAATTAGGACCTCTCTTGTTGTTCTTCAAGACATGATCAATAAATTAATCACGTGAGTATGAATTGAAAGGATTGCCATAAGCTCCCTAACACACAAAATCTTTCGAAGGATACTCTAAAGCTATTATTTTACTCAGAATATCAGTAACTTCCCCTTAATCAGTAGGTTATATATTCAAACTATCTCGATTATACAAAACAGGGATGAGGGTTATCTATTAGTCATTATAGTCTGATAGAAATCTTTAAGAGTCAAATGCAGGAGTTTGCTCATAAGTGTTAACGCCATTGCATAGTTGTTGATTGGTATCTAATTCTTTCATTATTAAAGGTATTTGCTTTTGTAATCATTTCCAGAAATTATTAGTAGACAACTCATCATATTCCATTCTCCAGATTTAAACAAGGAATATCATATAGACGAGTATTGAAGACTTGGTGTATTATATTATTCAAGCGACTCATATTTACTACTTTCAAGAGTTTGGAATGAGTTCAAGATTTATCCGAAAAAACTGGGATCACCTGAAGTAAGAAAAATGTAAAAGACATAATTGTATATGAAGTATTTGTATGGATTCATTATCAAGCATATCCCGATCCCATAAAACAATATATGTGTTCTTAATGCATTTTGAGATTGCTTTAGGATTAGAATTAAGGGCAGCCAGTGGGTTTTAGAGGTAGGATAGCCATGCACGCTACATATTTACTTCTAAATGATGTTCTTCCATTCAAGATTTAGGATCTTCTGAACAACCACATTATATATATCTTGTCATGGAGATGAGTTAATTAACTTCATCTTGTAATAATTTGTAAGTTTTCGATAAGTGTCAAAATAAGGGCGGTTTGAAATCTCAAATGGAGTATCCTATTAAAAGAGTTAATGACAAATCATTGAGATGCCTTATTGAAAATTACCAGGTTAGCAACAATTCCTTTCTTACCTCTTTGGTACAACTGCCAATAATTTTATGTAATGATTTATTATTTTATATTAGAGTAATTCAAGATTTTATATAGTCATTTATTTTTTATTCCAATTTAGTATGAGACAAATACTGAAGATAATAATTTTGATTAGTATGTCAATTAGTTGCCTAAAGTTAGACTAATATTTGAAATATATCTATGAAGTACTCCATGATAATGTAAATCAACTAGATATAAAGTTACGTATTCCCTTCATATAAATGCGAAAATGGTGTAATTCAAGACTTCATATGATGATTTATTATTTTATTACAATCTAATATGAGACGAATATTTCAGCAATGACCGATATAGACTTTGTTCATGGTGCCAAATAGCAATCTAAAAGATTAACCATAAAAGGAGTAATTAGAGATTCTATATAATGATTTATTATTTTATTCCAATTTAATATGAGACAAATATTTAAGCAATAAAGAAGATAATAATTGTGTTTACAGTTTTGAATAGTCACCTAAAATATGATTACATTTAAAATAATAGTCATATTTTAGATGACTATTTGAATATGTAAACACAATTATTATCTTCTTTATTGCTCACATATTTGTCTCATATTAAATTGGAATAAAATAATAAATCACTATATGTAAAGTGGAAAAAATGATTTATTTAAAAAATAAAACTTAATTTATTTTACAAACATGATTACTTGTGTTATACACTTATACTATCTCTTTCAAAATGAATTTACCATAACGATCCATCGAAATAGCGTGGTTGGAAACCATGCGATGGACGCTAGCGATTGCTTTTTAAAATTAGCTACGAGTTGGATACGAAAGTATGTATTCGTCGAGAAATTGTACGCGTGGCTTCCCAAATAACGATGGCTATTTCCGTCGGTGATTTAAATGACACAATACAGTTAAGAGTTCTTTCCACTTTTAGTCCTCCGACTATTATGTCATTGACATTTTTGGTACTCGACTTTGATTTTTTCCATTTGTAGTCCTTGACTATTGCGCTAGAGACACTTTTGGTACCCGTCTTTGAAAATTTCCATATTTAGTCCTTCAACTTTTATAAAAGTGACACTTTTGGTCCTCCAACTATTATAATAGTGACATTTTTCGTCCTCCACTTATTGTGTTAAAATCATAATGGGAGGACTAAAAATGTCAATTTGACAATACTCAGGGACTAAATGTGGGAAACCTTGAAGTCGGGGACTAAAAATGTCTCTAGCACAATAGTCGAGGACTAAAAATGAAAAAATTTGAATTCGAGTACCAAAAGTGTCATTGACATAATAGTCGAGGGACCAAAAATGACAAAAACTCATACAGTTAATTATACCGACAACTTTGACTATCGGGAAAGTGTGGCCAGGTTGTTGTAAAATGTTAAGTTCCGATGGCTTAATCCGTCGGCATTTTCCCATCATCATCATCATCATCATTATCATTACCCCAGTGCCGCAAAGGCTCCCACCTACGGTGGGGTAAGGGGGGGTCGGATGTACGTAGTCTTACCCCTGTACTAAAACACAGAGAGACTGTTTCCGAATGACCCGTAGTGAAAATCGCATCGAAAAATACATGAACTGACTGTTGCTTCATAATAAAGAAGCGCAGACAATTTAGTGAGCCATTTTTCTTTATTCCATCATATTCCCAAGCCAAAAAATAGTTAATCTTTGACTCCATTGCAAATGATGGAAATAATCCGTCGGCATTTTTCCATTTGCCAAAAAAAAGCACATGCGGTGTACATTATAAACGCAATTCCATTTCACAATACCATTCATTTCAAAGCTCATTATTGTATGCATTAAAACTAACAAAAAGAAGTAAATTAACAACATTCTTCTTAATTATTATTTAATAAATAAATTGTCAAGAACATTAGAAGAATTTGTACATAATTAATAATTAATAATTACTACAAATCTTAATTGTTGTAATTCACCAACATTATTGAACCCTTTCCTGGCAAATAAATTGTCCATAAAAGTTGTGTTGTGTTACGTTCTTGGGAAGTAGTATCATTAGTGTTGTGCAGAGGCATAATTTGAAAAGCTGGAGGTTGTGTAGATGGTTGACCTAAAATGTAATAAATTGGAAACATTATAAGATAGTAAGGTGGTGGTTGGGATGAAGAAGTTTGTGAAACACCGGAAAAGGGACTAATTAGAACAAGCGGATTGACTTTGTTGAGGATAAGTAGATTGCCCGTGTTGGAAAAATATGTAAGGTATTTTTTGGGGGATTCCACAAGAAGGTTGACCATACCCAAACCATGGGCATGGGCTCATTTGTTCTGGACAGCTCTCCACATTATCCATGAGTTTATCAATGCAGTCTTGATAAGAGGAGAAACAATGTGTAGGATTTAAAGACCACATGCTCAACAGTTGTGGGACGAGCTTAGAGAGCCCAAGCCCATAAGCCTTCCCCGGTTAGATTGAACAGTTTTCAAATAAAGTGCATTCTTACCAACTATTGTACTCGGCCCTTGTGTCTGTTGGAATTCCTATACCCGTCCAATCACAGTACAATGCAACATCTTTTCTAGCTTTCAAATTGTCTTTTGTCCTTTCTTTGTCGTTCATAAGAGTATTAAATAAATTGTCAAACACAATTTTTCAATGTGGATAACATCTAAATTATGTTTAACTAATAAAATTTCTCAATATGGGAGTTGCAAAAAATGTTCCTTTTCATTAATTTGTGATCAATGCCCTAACCCAGGGGGTAATTCATTAGGATCCTCAACAACATTTGGTATCATAGCTACACGAAAATACCATCGAAGGCCTGACAATCTAGATGGAGGGTGACTAATAAGTTCTTCTTTTCCCTTTTTAAATGAATAAATTCCCCTATGATATAGATGTTGTTGTGGTAGAATTTTTTTAGGACATTCAAAGTAACAAGGCTTAAGCTCACATTTAAGCCATGTTGCTTTGTTGCCCTGCATACAAATAGGGCATCCTAAAAGTCCTGTTGTGCTCCAACCACACAACATTCCATATGCAGGAAAATCACTAATTATCCACATTAAAATGGCATGCATTGAGAACATGAAATTGTCTACAATGTCATACGTTACTTTACCCTCATCCCACAAATGTTTCAATTCATCGAGTAGCGGTTACAGATATATATCTATTTTCTTTATCGGGCATAATGTTCTAAGAATAATGAGAGACAAAAACATGAAAGGATATTTCATGCATATACAGGGGGCAAGTTGTACGTCGTAAGAATAACGAGCCAATAGGAATACGATATACCATATTGTCTATGAGCTGCAAAACCATCATAACATAAACCAAGATGGACATTTCGAAGCTCAACTGCAAATCCCAGATATGTATTATCAATGTGTTTCCATACTTCACTATCACAAGGATAACCCATTACAGTCCCGATTGCGTCATGTGTTGCATGCCACCTCATCGCTTTGGCTGTTTTATATGTTGTGTACAACCTATGCAATTTTGGTGTTAAGGGAAAATATCTCAACACAGACACAACAATCCATTTTTGTTTTATGTTTTACATTGTTCTAACTCCGCAAAAAGAACAACGCGTTAACTCTTTATCGCGATTCCAAAACAGCATACACCTATTTGGACAAACATCAATATTTATCACGAGAAGATCCAACTTTGAAACAAGTTTTTTGGTCTCATAGTAATTACGTGGGACCGTGTGGTCACGAGGTAAGTATCGATCAAATAATTCCAACCACCTATTACTTCATTCTGAGGTAAATTAAAACTTGATTTTACACTCATTACCTCAGTGGCGAACTGTAATTGAGAACCTTCTAGACATCGTTCATATAAAAGTTGATATGCTACTTGTAGAATGTAACACCCTGCCCCGTAGGGCCCGAGGTAGTTACTCATAGATACCCTCCAGACCTCTAGTAATGTCTTCACAAACTGCCACTAGCCTTTTCCGCGCACTTTGTCCTAACTCGTGCGCGCCCTGAGAAACTTCCCAGGGGGGTCACCCATCCCAAGACTACTCCCGTGCAAGCACGCTTAACTTTGGAGTTCTTGGGTGATGAGCTCCCTTAAAAGAAGATGCATCTTGTTGGTATGAGTAGTACTATCAATCCATTTAAATTAATCTCAAATGTTACATAGAACATTGTGGAATTCGTCCTCCGAATATGACACTTCATTTACATTTGGTGATCCATTATTGTAAATTGCATATGTGGTTTCTGGAATATAGTTTGTGGTGGAAGGTTGCTGCAAGTATCCTCCAAAAATATATCCAAGCACTATTTGATCCCAGGGTATATCTTCATGACTTCCAGAAAGGGAGAAGAGCGTGCTACACTACACGCGATTGGTTTTAGTGTAGCGATAAACACAACGATCCACAAGATGTATTTGTTCATGTCGAAGTTAGCTTATAAATATGGTCTTGGGCATTTTTAACGGAATAGTGACGGCTTGGGTAACAACTCAATGGCTTTGTGACGGGGCACAGACGACTCAAAGACGGAACTTGGCAACCCCCTTTAGTGACGATAATTTTAATTGGCTGTCGGTAATCCATTGGTAATAGTGTTGGAAATTACCAACGGTTTTCTCCATCACTGCTTATCCTTAGCTATTTCGGCATCCTTTTGTAGTGGTAGTAACTGCAACAACAATAAAATTACAGTCATATAATAGTAACAATAATGGCCCATATTAGTTTAAATTATAATTTTATTGGTGTTACTTTAAATAATAATAACAATAATTCTAGCAATACTACAATTTCTGGAGTGTATAATAATATTTGCCAAAAAAGTATATAGTAATAGGGATATTGCCCTGAATAGAGTAATCAAGTTTTGAAATTTCAAAATAGGATTACTATATTTTTCTTTCCAAAATAACTAAATAAGAATCATTACTGTCATGATTGAAAAATAGTTCATCAATGATAATAAATATTGCCTAGTCAATGGATCATATTTTGAGGGGGAGGGGGGAATATAACAGTCCTATTTTGGAATTTCAATAATAATTAGAAGTACTCATTATCGTATAATGATTTTTTTTTGTTTAGTGTAGTAAATTTGGAGCACAAATAGGTGTTTGAGAGGTAAAACATTTAAAATATTCATAAATTCTTATTCAATTCTTTTTATGTCTCTCTATTGGAGTATTTACAATTTCCATGAATGTGATTTACGAATTTTAGAGAGAAATTGTAAAAAAACTATGTAAAAGAAAGAGTTATTTTATATAATCGTGCATACCTACCGACTAGTGTTTCTAATAAAATAAATAAAAAAGAAATTACTCCAATGTACTAGGAAAATACCTTGATTATAAAAAATATTAAATTGTGAATTAAAAAGCTGCATAAAGGGGAGCGTTTAGGAATTTGGATTCAATTGGACTGAAGAGTAATTATATTATGCTTAAAGTTGTTCTGGACTTCAGCCAAATTCTCCCGTGCATCTAGCTAGAGTTTTGTAAAATTTGGTTAACTTTGTTTAAATGTATTCTCGTGAAGCTTGTTTTGGCACTGAATTACATGATTGTTTGGAGATAGGGATAATTATGAATACGTATTTTCCTTAATTTCCGAAGTAAATAATTTTTTGTTCCATCACGTCACCTGTGCATTCTTGATTTCTTGTGTTAATAATGAAGTGTATATATGTATTAGCCAATCTTAATAGTTTATAATAAGAAATATTTTATTAGATTACTGTTCTAAAACCATGCCGAAGAGGAAAGAAACTGCTAGTTCTTGATATAGACCACACTCTATCTGATCACACAACGTCAGAAGACCCCATGAGACCATGTACGTTTTCCTTTAATTTTGTGCATACTTAATTAATGATTTACTTGAGGTCGTATAAGGGCCATTTATTATATACAAGGGAATCATGATATATAAAATTTACAGATCTTCATGAATTTCTCTCGGCCATTTACTCAAAGTATGATATCATTATCTGGTCCGCATCCAGGTTAAATTCTAGACTCGGAATGAACTAATTTGATACACGCATCAAAGTTATGTAACCAACTGAATTGAATTAGAAAAATGCTTGATGTACACATTTTTTGATGGGTCCTTCAGAGTTGTGTGTATACAGACAATTCTGTCTGCGTAGACAAACAAATGTGTCAAATGTGTACACATAAAACGTGTACACCAAGCATGACTCGTAGAATTAAATCAAGGTCATATACTCCCTCCATCCCTCTGAACTTTGTCAAGTTTGACCGACACGAGAAATAATAAAGTAAAAGTTGTGTGATTGAGGTTTATGCAAAGAAGGGAGAAATAATATGAACCATAAATTCTTTGTTTAAAAGGAAAAATGGCAAATAATTTTAGACAACCAAAAAAGGAAATATGACAATGTTAAGGGACATAGAGAGTATAACATAATATAATCGAGAAAATTAGAACGATGTTAGTGTACGCAAGACCAATTGACTAGCTAGCAGACTATTAAAGCATCTGTAAGGTAACAATGTGCATGATGCGCACGTGGTATGAGAGAGATAGACACATAAAAATAAACCATTTACATTCCCTTTCTTTCCCTTATCTTATATAATTTTGGTAACTTTTTCACAAGAGTGTTAGCCACAATGTCGATATCAGACATCCGTGTTGACATTATGGATAATAACATACCAAAAACATATATGACCTTTCAAATATGGAGAAAGATATATTGTTCATTAATGTTTATGTGTCTATCTCTCTTATGTTGCATGTGACCGTGCACATCGCGACATTGGAGCTTGTTCTTAATATTGAATTGTAGATTAATTAATAAATGTACAAAATTAAAAGTGTCTCATCACATACATAATCTTCTGTAACTAACAATGGACTTTTGTGTGGGATACATTTCTCAATGCTCCCTTTCTTGATTGCAGAATGAAGAAGATTAAGTCCAAATTAGAACAACTTGGAATTATTAATAGTCCCAACTATAATATAGTCACACTTTTTGATCGTACAGCGATGTTGAAGACTAGCAACATAATAAAAGATCATGACAATGGCATGTCATTTATTACTTGTAAGCCCTTACATCTGATTTGGGCCAAATTTCCAGAGGTTCGCTATCAACTTATTTTCTGTTAATTCAGTACTTGCCCCGTGTAAGGAGAGAAATAAGAGTTTTCTGAGTGCGCATCATTTTAAAATTTTATACAATGCACACTCATAACACATTTCAACTCTTCCCTCTATTGAAGAACCTTTTGAATTGAATAGCAAGCATTTCAAAGGAATAAGAGTTTTTATTTGACTTCTTGAGTGACCTTTTATAGTTTTTACTAAGAGTAAATACAAAGTACAATGTATGATTTTAGAGTACATCGACACCGTGTGCGTGTTTGACATTGTGTGATAGTAACTGCACAAACTGTACTACTTGACGATAGTAGAGTAAACAAATACTCCACTCATCCCGCACAAATTGTTCAAACAATCTTTCCTTTTTATCCGTCTCATTAAGATTGTTCTATATTAAATTTGGTAATTGTATGGTTCTACATTGTTATTATTTTTTTCTTGATTATATTTATCAATTTAATATGAACTATATAAAATAACTTATTACATCACCTCCTCGTGTACTAAACTGAATGTGATGGAAGTAGTAATAATTCTTTTGCCAAATAAGGAATGAATATTTTATTTAGGGACATCTAAATTTGAAAAACATATTCTTTAACGGACAAAGGGAATAATACTTATGCCTTTTTCGAAAGAAAATTACATATGAATAATTAAATATATTAATAATTAAAGTCGTGGTTTGACAAAACTAATTAGAATAACAGGCAAGGTATCTTGATTCACTTACAAGCACATTCGATCATTTCATATTTTATTTATTCATTTTCCCTAACAAATCATGTATGCTACAGTTTTACAATCCGAGAAACACTATAATGGTGGATGATATGGAGAAGAACTTTAAAATGAATCCACAGAATGGTCTGACCATAAAGGCATTCTGGAAGCACAACTATGCTAATGATGAGGAACTCCTTAAACTTGCCCAATATTTGCTTGCCATTTCTGAACTTGATGACTTAAGTTCCCTCGATCACAAATGTTGGGAGATATATTTTACGAATGTTACAGAAAAAGAACATATTTCTCCATCTTATGCCAAGACCTGCCCCACATGTTTTTCTACTACTGCTAATAATAAAATAGGTAGAATTTTGAAAAAATTCTATACAAAAGTTTTTCTATGTTTCCCTTGGTTTATTGTAAATTTATGTCCTTGCATCATCACAAAAGAGAGCTAATGAAACTCCCTACATTTATGTTTCCCTTGGTTTTTCTATATGACTCCATTATTGATATTAAAAAGAGTTACTATTACATGGCGTCTCATAAAACTCCCTACATAGAGTTTCGAACTCGAGACAGGTCGTATGGGAGAATGAGTTGGTGACCAGTTGAACCGGTTCTATAATGAGAAGGTTGAGAGAAGATGACGAGCACTTTGTCAAGGTGCGTCAAAATAAATTCAATACTAAACACTTATACGTAGTATAGCGTAGCAGAGTTCGTATCCACAGGGAAAGGAATGATTCTCTTTTTATGAAACTAGTAATTAAAAAGGGGGGTTTTGGTTTTGAGTGATTTAATCCAATTAAGAAACTAAGATGAACAACCTATATGTGTTTAATTCAAGAATAAAAATGACTTGGCTTTGCTACTTTCCACTTGTTGATATATTTTAGTCGATCTGTGTTATATCTATAACTTATCCCCTCTCGAATACTCAATCGAGGAGTATCTCCAATTCATCGAGGGTAGTTATTAACAACGACCGTTCATTAATAACCCTTACTATTAATCAAATATAGAACAACGCCGTATACCGATATAATAGTAGCATTCAATCTTTTTAACTCCTTGATGAAATCAATTGAGATTGATAACCTTAACACAACGGTTTCGGTTTAACCAACAAAATTGATCCCTCTTAAGTCTATTAACCACGACCGTGCATTAATAAACCGAAGTTACTTACTTGTGAAACCACCAATGATTAACCATCGGTTCATTGATCGTTTCTAGTAATAATTAATGTCGGAACGTTAACTAATCGTCACTTAGCAACCCTCCAACATTAATATAGAATGAGATTAAGGGAAGAATTAATAATCAAGAGAAGAAGTTAAGAAAATAACTCACAACTTTAATAATCAACAAGCTTCAAGAGAAAAACCAAGAATGGAAGTTTAGCTCCTCATTTGGAGACTAAACATGATGAAAAATATAAAGAAAGAACTATTCTATACTGAGCTTAGAAGTATGGAAGAAGAGATCATGAAAAGTGAAGGAAAATGGGGTTATTTATAGGTGTTTTCAACACCTAATGCCGGATACCCGGCCGGGTATTTTGACATACCCGACCGGGTATTTACCAAATCAAATATTTTCCCATGTTTTTGTGTCTTCTGCACGTTCTTTGGTCCGAAATCACTTCATATCCGACCGGGTATATGGAATACCCGACCGGGTTTTGCACAAAACTCAGGTTTCTTCATCCTTTTTGCTTCCAAACATATCCTAAACTTATAGCCAAACTAACTACAACTTACAACAAACAATAAAATGCTAGAAATACGATTACAATCAAATGCAAACCAACAACTATAAACTTGCACAAAACTAGTAAATAAACATTACAAACAATAATAAAAATGTATACTTAGGCACTAACAACTAGTGCCTATCAGAAGAGTAGTATTGGAATAAGAATTGAAATTATGTGTGTCACAAATAATATGAGTGTATGACCGCTGCACCAAATTAAAGTTTGTGCAATACAATTAACTCTAACAAAAAATGCACTACGTAGTTTATTATGTATATAACCTACCAATACCATCAAATTATAATTATTACAAAGGTACGAAGTATTATAGTTCAATTATGTACTTCATCAATTCATATTTATCCATTTAATTATATGTAAATGTATAATATTTATGGAGTGGTCATACTATAATTACAAAATCATCTGCACCACATATCTAGTATTTATGATGACAAAAAATGCACCATGGAAAAATAAACATACCGGTCTGATTTTTTTATTTATTAAAAAAAATTAATAATCAAAGACTTTTTAATTTAAATAAAATTTAGGCTCAATATTTAAATTAGAAATATTTTCTATATAACATAAAATCATAAACAAACCAAATATTCAAAGTGCTCTCTACTCAAAATAAATTGCTATTCAAATAACCAAGAGAGCCTGAAGTGGACTGCTTGAGGCCGGAGGCCTAAATGTCACATATTCTCATCATATATTTGAAAGATGATGAGATAATGTATTGATTTCTCAAATGAATGGCCGCTTTCATACAATTTTCTACTTGTGTTTAAGATACGTAACTTTAATTTCTTTGGAAGTTTTTTTGGTGTTATTGAGTTACAAATATTAACACTATTGGTGTGTCTGGTCGTAAGTTTATGGTCACATCCAATGCCGCTTGTGGAGGTATTGACCTATGGGCTAAGACAGCCCATCTCCCACTTGTGTTCGGCACAACTGTGTTCGATGCTTTAGTTTTTGTCCAGCCGAGACACCAAGCTCTTGCGCCCATGTTGCGCGCTTCTGGAACTGTCGCCTCGGGTTTTTGTTTAAACCCCAATATATAAGGCATATCCTTTGTCTTCTCCTGTGCAAGGCTCTTCTGTGTTGTTTAACCTAGAGTGAGAGAGAGTGAGAGAAGAGAGAGTGAGTGAGAGCTTGGGTTGTTTGAACCGCTGTTCCTCGTCGTTCCTTTGTGCGAACTCTTCTACGTCTCTATTTCTTATACTACTTTGTTTCTTATGTGTTACCCGCAAACATGGGTAGTGCTTTGTGTGATCGTTGACTTCGGTCTAAGCTGGAGAATTGAACACCCAACACCGCAAATGTATCAAGCCCCAAAAACAATTCAAGAACCTTAAGAAATGCCTCAATATGTGTAACTCCCTACATTTTGAGTATTCATCACAATTCCACAATATTATAGTGGAAGATTTCAAATTGAAGCTAAAGAAATTCACCTTAACTATTATGCAATCATGCGCACCATTTAAGTATGGTCCATGTACTTGTAAGCGTTAGTGGTTTTGTGTTGTTTGGGTACCAGTCTTAGTGCGGGTGAAATACGTTTTTAAGATGATGGTGTGTTAATAACTATTGTTTGAGTGTTGCTTTAGTAACTTTTGAATGCATGAGTATGTTAGTGACGCGTGGATAGTTACCACAAAATTAAGTAAGGGTAGTAACTTAAGGTATGAGTGTAGTCACTTATAGTGTAATATTCATTTGGAAGTTATTTTTTGAATTTTTTTTTAATTGTTGGGTTTTTCTGTTTTTACTTAATGAGTGCTTGAGTGACAAATTGACAGTTACCATAGAACTAGGGTAGTCATTGTAGTATGATTGAAATATGTGAAATATAATGTAAATTGTAGTTATGACTATATGTAGTCACTTATACATGTACTCTTTCGCGGGTAGCGGGTTTTAATAACTTTTGGTTGCTTGGTGGGGTAGTACCTTTTGAGTTAATGAATGTTTGAGTGATAAATAGACACTTAAATTACTGTAGTAGTGGAGGTAGTAGTAACTAACGTACATGTGAGTGTAATTTGTGAAATGTGAATTGAGTTTTATTTTGGAAATTTACTCATGTATATCATATTATAGTTAATTAGTTACTTTATGTATGAGTCACTGGTAGTCACTTTAACATTATGTAATTGTTTTGACTTTTGAGCAGGCGTATTGTAAAATGAAGAAGTAAGAGGTGCACACCTCCTTTGTGCAAAATCAGAAAATCGGGGAGGCCGAAGAGAAAGAGAATCTCTTCTACTGTAGAAATTGAGTCAAGATGGAACTGCGAAAGGTGCATACAACATGGACATAACGAGAAAACTTGTAATAATCTGATACCTTTATAGATGGTTGAGAGGCATGTTTTTATGTTGTTTATAAGTATTAAGGGGATTGACAAATAAATAGTGCAGGAGTTGCATGTGATAAATACACATATGACGTCTGAATTTCTTTATGTTCTATAGATTATTTATGTATTCAGCTAGTTGCTATAAATTATTGTGATATGGCTAATGAATATATTTGTTCTCTAGTCTGTGATGATTCCTGAAACAATTGCAGGGTAGTACATATAGTTATACCACATAGAAAGTGATAGAAGTTATGAAAGTATTTGTGTTTGAGTGACTTTAATTTGCATGAGTTACTTGTTAAAAGAAAATGTTGTAGTGACTATACATATATGTCATACCTCCAGATTATTAATTAAAGAACTTCCAGTATACTCCGTAAGTCTGTAGTAATTCCACCCGGAACCTTGTACACTATATAGATACTTTTACGTAGTAAGTTACTTTGTGTTACACCTTCATTACCAGTTCTCACAATATATTAAGTATACATGTTAGGTGCAGATTAACCGTTCACCTTTATGATGGATAGCTTGATAAAAATATATTCTGAAGTTTAGGATTCAACTCATATAAATGACTTAAGGACTGTAGAGATATTGGAGTATTTGGTTGATTATAATGAGATTTGTTCTGATCATAGTCTGATTTCCTAGAATCAAGCAGGAGATTTGTATTAATTAGAAGATCTTGTACATAATTACTCTATCCTTTATTAAGTTAGCCCAGACCTATAAATTGTATTTAGCTTCTGTATTTGCAATTATCAATAAAACTCCATTCTTCAACTTGGTATCAGAGCTTCCCGATTCTAGGGGCTCTGCTTCTGCACGCAAACACAAAAAACCCTTTCTTTTTCATCACAAAATTACTGCCAGAAGGCTGCTCCTTTAGGTTTTGTTCGAGAGGTGTTTTTTCTTCTACTTTGAAACTGCCACTTTACTATGCCCGATCTCGCAGACTAAACTCTTTCTCTTCCACCGTTAACCCACAATGACCTCCCCATATTACAAGGCTCATACCGGTTAGATGGGCGCAATTATCTTCAATGAGCCCAACTTGTTCGTACCACTCTTAGAGGACGCAAAAGGATTAGTCACATCGAAGGCAAAGCCCCTGCTCAGACAGATCCGCACTATGAGACATGGGTTGATGAGGATTCTCTCATTATGACCTAGTTTTGGCACTCTATGACTCCGGAGGTTAGTAGGAATTATATGTTTTTCGCAACTGCTGGGGAGATTTGGAAGAATCTGGCAGAAACATATTCCATGAAAGAAGATCTCTCAGCATGTTTTGAATTGGAAAATAAAGTCTTTAATACTAAGCAGGGAACTCTCTCTGTAACCGACTATTATGGCACTCTAAATGGTCTCTGGATCGAATTAGATCAGTATCAAAGTTTGACAATGAAGTGTGATGAAGACTCCACTGCACTAACCCAATTTATTGAAAGAACACGGATATTTAAGTTTCTCTCTAGGCTCAACTCTGAATTTGATCCCATTTAGGTTCAAATTTTGGGTAATAAGAATCTGCCATCTCTTTCAGAAGTCTTTCACACTGTTCGTGGTAAAGAAAGTAGGGGGTCACTAATGATGGAAGGGAAATCAGTTGATGGTTCAGCTTTAGCCACCGAAAAGGGTTCCATACAAGGATCTACTTTGAGAAGCCCCGTTTTGAAGTCCAACAGTGAAGATCGATGGTGCAATTACTGTAAAAAATCTGGTCATACAAAGGACACATGTTTCAAACTGCATGGAAGGGATAAAGTCCTTGGACGTATAAGCGGGTCCAAAAATATTGTTCAGAGACGTGCAAATCACACTGTTTCTAATCTAGAAATTGAAGGCAATCCACCTAGTTCACCCATAGAAGATATCGCCGGCCTTAGAAAAGCAGAACTTGAGCGCCTAAGAGCATTTATGGACTCCTTAAGTACACCCACTGGTAATTGTTCTCTGACAAAGACTGGTAAGATTTCTACCTTCTAATCTTTTGATGCTTTGATTACTGATCATAGTTGGATTATTGACTCTGGTGCTACAGATCACATGACACCTCACATCTCACATTTATCTTCATATTCCACTTTACCAAACAAACACCATATCACTGTTGCTACTGGATCCCAAACTCCCATTACTGGATGTGCTAACATCAACCTGAATTCATCTCCTCACCTTAAGCATATGCTTCATGTTTCCGAGCTCTCTAATAATCTTTTGTCTATCCACAAACTCACCAAAGATTTAAACTGTGCAGTAACTTTCTTTCATTCCCATTGTGTTTTTCAGGATCTTGCCACGGGGAAGACGATTGGAATTGCTAAGGAATGGGATGGGTTATACTATCTGCCGTATAAGGAAAGTATTTGTCATCAAGCGAGTTCAGAATCTTGGAATTCCTCTCAAATATGGTTGCATCACAAACGTCTTGGGCATCCTCCCTTTAGAGTTGTTCGGGCCATGTTTCCCCATTTATTTACAAAATTGTCAGTTAAGTCTTTTCACTGTGATGTATGTCAATTTTCCAAACATCACCGTTCCACGTTTTTTCCTAGTAATAATAAAAGTGCCCAACCTTTTGATTTGGTTCATTCTGATGTTTGGGGACCTTCGCCCGTTTCAAATATTTCTAGTGCAAAATGGTTTGTCACTTTTATTGATGACTGTTCTAGGATTACGTGGGTTTTTCTTATGAAAGATAAATCAGAAGTGTTTCAACTATTTGTTAATTTTTTCCACATGGTTCGAACCCAATTTGGAAAACCTATCAAACGGTTATGATCAGACAGTGCGAGAGAATATGTAAATCGGAACTTTTCTGATTTTCTGAAACAAAATGGTGTTGTTCATGAATTGACTTGTGTTGACACCCCATAACAAAATGGGGTTGCTGAACGGAAAAACCGTCACCTTCTTCAAATTGCTAGAGCATTACTCTTTCAAATGAATGTTCCCAAGTTTTACTCTGTCACTGTTCCGCCGCTTGTGTCACTGTGCCGCCGTTTGTGTCACTACTACCACCGCACGTGTCACTACTGCCTTGAAAACATGTCTCTTTGATGGTCATCAGAAAATTCTCCGATGACTTTTCCGGCAAATCAGTCTCCTAACACCACCACCCACCACCCCTGTCGGCATCCCCTGCTCCCTGTACACCGCCCACTAACCCTGGCCCTCCCCATCCCCATAGTGACAACACCGGCCACCGCCACAATGATGCCGCCAACAACTGCCCAATGACTGTTACCGCACCGCTTCACCCTGTGACCACCGCCAAGCCCCTTCCCCAGCCCCCACCAACCACAAACCGATTCATCTCTCCCCATAACCACCCTGCTCAAATCCGTCCCCCTCCCCTGCTCCACAAAGCTGTGACATCCACCCACCCAGCCCCTGGGCGCCAGCAATGGCAAGTGACCAGCCCCTAAGCGCCAACAACAACCAGTGACCAGGCCTTCTTGTTCGTCATCGCTTGTCATCTGCGTAGCCATAGTTGCTGAGGTCGTCGCAAGGCAAATTTGCTCCTAATCGCTCACAATCGCACAACTGCAGTGGATCTGAACCCTAACAATCAATATGAAATTGTAGACGTCGAAAATGGACGACTGATCCATGGGAAAAGGGCAATAGATCAACACGAATCGATCTGAAATCGAAACTCAAGAAATAGAGAGAAGAAAGGAGAAAGAATTGCAGCGCCATTGCTCTTCGTAGCACACTATCGATCTGAGAATAGATGCGGAAGAAGGATGAGGGCATATCACCATCTTCATCGCAATGCACTCTAATTGTTGAAAGGGTTGGGTAGCGCAAAGGACAACGGGTTCGATGGAGCGCCAGAGCGGAAGAGTTTATTTAATTTTAAATGGTCACTTTTTTGTCAAAAGTAAAAACTATTTTTCTCTCTCTAAACTCTACAGCTAATACTTTTGCCATTATTTCTAAGTGTTATCATCCTTCCAGTCGCTGTGTTTATATATCCATGGATGTCACTTTTCTGGAAAGTGAATCTTTTTATCCTAATTCTCAGATTCAGGGGGAGAGTAGACAGGAAGTTGAGGCCCCTGAGTTTCCTATTCTTCCTTTAATACATGTACCCTTGAATTCACTTCCTATTCCTGCCCCTAAGGATAGTGATGCTACTCATAATGGTTTTGAACAAATACCAGTGCACAATAATGATGACAAGTATCGTATAAAGTACCAACGAAAAGCTAAACCCATCCTAATCCATCAGCAAGACCAATCGTCTGTTCCTGAGGTAAGTACTCACAACCTCGAGCCTAATAATTCGTGTTTAAATGCTCCTAACTCCGAGCCTAACAAATATTGTGAGCCAAACCCTAATGACCAGCCCATTGCGTTGAGAAAGAAAAAAACGATCTTGCACCAAGTACCCTATATCTCAGTTTGTGTTTACTAAGAATCTTTCTGCCCAACACCAGAGTTTTCTTTCAGCTATTAACTCTATTAGAGTCCCTACATCAGTACAAGAAGCTTTAAAAATAAGAATTGGATTTAAGCCATGAATGAAGAGATGCATGCACTAGAAAAGAATAAAACTCGGGAGATGGTTGAAAAACCAAATAACAAAAACACAGTAGGCTGTAGGTGGATATACACAATTAAGTACCGATCTGATGGTACACTTGACAGTTATAAGGCAAGGTTAGTAGCAAAGAGTTTCACCCAGACCTACGGGATTGATTATGAAGATACATTTTCTCCTGTAGCAAAAATGAATATAGTAAGGATTATTTATCCTTAGCAGCCCACTTTGATTGGGAGTTACAGCAGTTCGATGTAAAAAACGCTTTCTTGCATCGAGATTTAGAAGAAGCGGTATATATGGAGATTCCGCCAGGGTATGCCCCTACTTCGGGGAGAAATATGGTTTGCAAATTTAAGAAGGCCCTATACGGGCTCAAGCAATCACCCCGGGCATGGTTTGGAAGGTTTACTCAGGCCATGGTATCACTCGGGTATAAACAAAGCCAAGGTGATCATACCCTCTTTATAAAACACACTCGGAATGGAAAACTGACTCTTTTGTTAGTCTATGTAGACGATATGATCATTTCAGGGAATGATGAATATGAAAAAAAATACTAAGAAAGGAGTTGGCAGCTCAGTTTAAAATGAAAGGCCTTGGAAAGCTCAAATATTTCCTGGGCATGGAAGTGGCGTACTCAAAACAAGGCCTTTTTATTTCCCAAAGAAAATATGTCCTTGATCTTCTCAAAGAAACTGGTAAGTTAGGCTGTAAAATCACTGGAGTACCCATAGAGCAAAATCACAGGATTGGGAGTGAAGAGGAGAGCCCAAAAGTAGAGAAGACTCAATATCATAGACTCATGGGAAAACTCCTATACCTATCTCACACAAGGCTTGACATAACATATCCTGTTAGTGTGGTTAGACAGTTCATACATGATCCACGCGAAAAACACTTTCAGTCAGTGAATAGAATCGTGCAGTATTTGAAGGCAAGTCCTGGGAGAGGACTGCTATTCAAAAAGCGGGAATATCTGTCTATGGAGATTTGTACAGATGCAGACTATGCAGGGTCAATTGTTGATCGGAGGTCTACTATTGGATATTGCATGTTCTTGTGTGGAAATTTAGTGACATGGAGGAGCAAGAAGCAGAATGTAGTGGCACGATCGAGTGCAGAAGCAGAATTCAGGACCTTGGCTCAAGGGGTTTGTGAATTATTATGGATGAAGATCAAATTAGGAGATTTGAAAATACCATTTAAAGCTCCTATGAGACTCTTATGTGATAATAAATCTGCTATTAATATAGCTCATAATCCAGTTCAGCATGATAGAACAAAACACATAGAAATAGACCGACACTTCATCAAGAAAAAATTGGATAGTGGTCTCATTTCTACGCAGTATGTTCCTTCGGGGCTTCAGATGGCTGATGTGCTCACCAAAGGGCTTCCAGTAGAGCGGTTTCGATAACTTACTTGCAAGATGGAAATGTAAGACATCCATTCACCATCTTGAGGGGGAGTGTAGAGATATTAGAATATTTGGTTGATTATAATGAGATTTTTTCTGATCATAATCTAATTTCCTAGAATCAAGTAGGAGATTTGTATTAATTAGAATATCTTGTACATAATTACTCTTTCCTTTATTAAGTTAGCCTAGGCCTATAAATTGTATTTAGCTTCTGTAATTGCAATTATCAATAAAACTCCATCCTTCAACTAGGACTATTGAATTTAGTGCCCATAATAAAAATGGCTAGGTAACTTACTACGTCTTATAAGTTGCATCATATAATAAGTGTGGGAGTTAATGTAAAGGTTTGTGTACTGATGTTAAAGGAAACAAGAAGTTGAGACACACAAAGTTACAAGACCACTTTGGCTGAAATAGTTACAAGCAAAACCGTATACTTCAGAAGTTCATAGTACAATATTTAAATGCATGCAAAAGTTGTTGGAAGAATGGAAATTGATGAGTATTATATTTTGGTGATTGTGTGTGGAAGATAGAATTTGATAGAAAGATGATTTGGGATAACTTGAAATTTTTATTGATTTGAAGCTTTTGACATGTGTTACAAATGGGTGAGGAATGCTCTATTTATAGGTCTCATTACTCTCATAGGAGTGCTTGCAAGCTCAAAACAAAGTATTCAATACAAAATATCCATAAACATAGTTTGTGGTTTAAAATCAATAACGAACATGAATCATGTCTTCCTTGAGATCACTTCACAAGTGTACTCACCCCTTCGGGGCCCTCACCATTTTCAGGTTGAAGCTAGACTTGCTACCTGCACCTTTGCACAGGTGAAGTGATATCAAGGAAGGCGTGGTTCGTGCTTCCTTTAGTGATTTTAAACCACAAACAATGCTCATGGATATTTTGTATTGGATACTTTGTTTCGGGCCTGCGAGCCCACGGTTTGCCATATGTGGCCCATGATTGACTTATGAATATTTCCGCTATTTATTCAATTTCAAGTGTGATGTTGTTATGTATGTATACTTACTGAGTATGATATGAACTATGTTCATGGACGTCTTGTACAATTGAGTAGGTGTGACCCGCAAGTGACATCACTTGATTGTGCGGCGGTTGTACACGCACCTAGATGCCGGTTGTACACACACCTAGATGCGGCGGTATGGGGCGTGACACTATCTGGGTTGGAAGTCATGAGTTGTCTCCAACTATTTTATCCAACTTTATCTTTTATCAAATTTTTTCATTGTTTTAAAGCTTTAATCAAATTTAAAGTGACTTTACATAATTCTATTTAATTTTTTCTACTTTGAAAGATTTAAACCACTTCACTATAGGTTTTGTTTCACATATATTTGTAAAGTACAACATTTACATTTTTGCACTTAATATAAATTGCTTTTTCACGTATAATTGTGTGCATTCATAATTTACATTAATTCCAAATACATACATTATTCGTCCCTTATTGGATTGATTTATTCATTAACATAATTTTACAAAATTAAAAGTTTGTGACTAATTTATCTCATATAGTGAAACTTATTAACAATGATTTCATGTTTTTGTTGTATGAACATTTTTTATTTATAACTACTTTTAAATTATTTTTTTTCAAAGTGCTTGATTGTTTGTGACATGCGTGATGTAATATTTGTTATGCTTTTATCTAGTGTGAGTCCCCCTCATAGTTATGAGTCACACTAAATTTGTTTTTTTTCCAACATTTTGATGGTGGGTTTCTTCATTTTTCATAACTTATGGAGTCCATGTCATGGCAAGAATAAATTCTTTCTCATCCCATACTAAAATACTATCGTATGAAATTGTTTCCCAATAATCTAATCTAAATTCATAATTATATGTGAAACTTTAATATTTATATGAAGTACTATCCTCCGTTCTTTAACTCTTGCAAACGTTTGACTTTCACGTTTGTCAACGCATAACTTTGATTGTAATTATATTTAATTATTTATTACTCCCTCCGTTTCTGAAACAAGTTCCAACTTTCCTTTTCGGTCAGATTCAAAATTAAGTTCCACTTTCAAACATTTCCTTATTATCTACATCAAAACAGTGTCAAACAGTGCCAAACAGTGTTCAAACAGTGCCAAACAGTGCACTCCACAGTAAAGTCAAATTTATTTTCTTAATATGTGTGAAGTCAAATGTGGAATTTGTTTTGGAATCGGAGGGAGTAGTAAACATTATAAAAATTTGATATTTTAAAAATTCACATTGATAGGAATTTAATAAATTTTATACGTAATAATTTGATTATGTATATTAATATAAAATCATAGTCAAAGTAAAATGATGCAAAAAGTATAATATTTCAAGAATTAAAGAACAATAAAATTTGTTGCAAAAATGACAATGTTGATATTATGGGGTCGGGACAAATAGTTGAAGATAGTTTTTTCTACCGTATTTAATCATTTTGTCACATAGCAATTACTGGTGGGCATCGAACATGGCGAATACGGAATAGCAATGAAATTAATGCAAAAAAGAAGGGGTAGTTTCGTCAAATACAACTCGTCACCTTCCTTTTTTGCGATAACGTAAACTGCAAAGTTTCAATTCTCTTTCCCATTTTTAAAAATTTCGAAGACTAAACTCGCAGAGTCGCAGTCTCACCAAATCAAATCCATTCACTCTTACTGCTCACATCTTCCACCATGTACGATCCTCACCACTTGGTGGATTCGCTCGAATCCGGAAGTGGAAGATTCGGTGGAGACGGAACAGATCCCCGGTCATGGCTTTCCGGCGACGCCCACTCGCCGCCGCCGGCGTCTTCCTTTCACCGCCGTGCTGATTCTTCTTTCTCTGCAGCTTCTGTTGCAGCTGCTGCCAATGTTGACCCTACTATCGTCAACGAGTTAGTAGAGATGTTCCCTCTTGTTCAGTATCTCATTGTAAGTATTCCTACTTAATTCCTCTTTAGTGTTTTAACTGTATGAATTGACCTATTGAATTAAATAACTGGTTAGAGTTTTATGCCTAATATGTTTTATAAACTTCGGATTAGTGTGATTTGTGGAACTCAAGTCCCTCTAATGTGGCGTGCGAATCTTTCAGGATCAGAAACAAAATACTTCGTTTACACGCAGGGGATCGGTGATCTACACAAAGACACCTTCAAGAGAATCTTTATATAAAAAGGTTTATTCTTTGATTTCATCTAAATGCGTAATTTTATGTTTAATTTTGTTCCAATCTTCTCTCTGAAGTCTGAATCATGTTTTCTGTTTTTTGAAATTGATATAATCTTCTTTCTGTTTGACTAAATGAACTTTAGATGTAATGTGTTTCCGCATCCGCATTCATAGACAAATTTAAAACACCCTATTTGATAGAGCTGTCTCTAGAAATATTAGGGCTGTATTAAAGAAATATCAATTACACTTGTGTCAGTGGAAATAACAATATCATGTCCATACCCAATATTTGTTTTACACTAATGTACCAAACTTACACATTTAAGCGCCGCTTGGCAAGTTATTTGGCCGAAATGGACCTAATTGGCTGAATTTTGTTAAAAGAGAGACATTTGTTAACATCCATTTTAAAGGAAAGACATTAGTTAACATGCATTTTAGATTTTTAGCTAAAGAAGAAAGTCAAAAGCTTCTTATTTTGGTGAACCATCATTTGCAATGTTTTGGTTTAGTAGCGTTCTATGGACACAGAGTAATTTTTTTTGCCCTTTGAATTTGAAAAGTTTGGCTTGTTTTTTGTATTCACAATTAGGCTGTGCAGTTTATATCTTTCATATCACTGTTTCTAGGCCCCTGGAGCAAAAGGAAGAAATACAACTCAATCAATTTCTCGAAAAAAGAAAAAGGAAAATGTTGGGGAAGACTTGTCATTGAGGTCTTCCATAGCAGAGAAGGAAAGAGAAGAACTTCTTGCATTAAGGGACCAAGTAGAGGACCTACAGAAAAAACTGTTGGAGAAAGATGAACTACTTAAAGAAGTTGAGAATTCAAAGATTGAGATTGCTTCCCTCCATTCCAAACTAGATGGGATTCAGAAGGAATTTGACGAAAAAGACTCTTTACTCAGATCCACTCAAATCCAGCTCTCTGATGCAAAGGTGTGTACAATGCATCTATTTGATGTTATGATTCAGCTGAAAAGTCGATTAGCATTAATTAATAAAACTCAATCTGTATTGCACTTTTATTTTATATGGTTTGCTTGACTAGTGGCGGGACCTAGAAATTAATATTTGACCACGATTTTAACCTGAAATCTGAATGTCCACATTCTGCAAAAATATAAATAAAGGAGAACGTATATGTACATTGATGTTTCAAATTGGCTATTTTGAATTAGATAAAATTAGCTGACAAACAAGCTGCTGTGGAGAAATTAGAATGGGAGGCAACAACTTCCACCAAGAAGGCAGAGAAACTCCAGAGAAATCTAGATGTAGTGCAAGATGAAATTTCATTGTTTATGAAGTTTGTAGGAGAGTTGACAAAGAATAAGATGACACATACTGAAGATGATTATCATGTTAGTTGTCCCTGGGATGACCAGTTGAATGAAATGGTATGCACTTCTAGCCATTCATTATCATTATTGCATCAGCTAGAACATATATAGATGTCATATACAAAATATCTTTGGATTGTTACTTTCAACTCCCTAAAATTTTGTCAAGATACAAAATTTTTGCTGTAGTTTATATAAATTACAAATATACCCTTCAAGCAGTCATATTTTCATCGTAAATAACACCCTTAACAGCGACACATGATAGAATATAGTGATACTGGCCAGAATTGAGTGCTTTGGACTGAATTTTATTTTGTATTGCATCTGATCATGTAAATGGGTGATGTGGTTTTTTTCAGGAAACTAGCATTGAGTCAGAAAACTCTCCTTCATTCCTATTGATACCATGATAATATATTACCATCTATCCGACTATTCAAGGGTGTATTTGTTAAAACCTAACATGTTCAGGAAATGTCTCATATTCATCTTTATGTGGAAAAGTTTGAATGGATGGCATTTTTCCATTCAGAAGATCTTTTTGTAGTTCATTTTTTAATTGGGTTCAACAGGATAATCTGAAAGAGGTGGAAATGCAAAAAGTGGAGGCAGCAAGGGAAACTTATGTTGCTGCACTTGCTGCTGCTAAAGAAAAGAGAGATGAGTCATCCATGGCGGCAGCTTCTGCTGCAAGAAAACAGCTGCAATCACTACTAGGTTTATTCTGACAATGAGGAAACAACACAATCTAATATCCTAATTCCCACATATTTGTGTGTGACATCAATTATTGTAGAAAAAAGAAAGCCCAACTTAAATATTTAGCTTCTTTTATTCAATGTAATCTTGAGATACTCTTTTTGTTTCCTTTTGGTTGGTCAAATGTACTACTCATCACAAGATCATTATATCAACCACCATTTGTAACTTTGTATCATACGACTCCTCTCTTATTAATGGACGCCTTAACGCTGTACGGCCCCGGACCGGACCGGACCCGGATGGCCGGTTCCGGGCTTTTGCCCGGGTTGGGCGGGTCTGGAGGGCCGGTTACGGGCCCCCATTTTGTTGAACCGGACCAGCCGGTTCCGGGCCTATTTTTTTTTTGTTTTTTTCAATTTTTTCTTTTCCTAGGGTTGGGCTGGGTGTTTTGGGGAGGTGAGGGGGGGGGGGGGGGGGGGGTTGTCGGGGGATAACAAGAAAGCCAAAAAAATAATTTAAACATTGAAACGGGCCCGGACCCGGTATCAACCCGGTCCAGTTCCGGGCCCAAGTAAAAGGAAAAAAAGCCCGCCCAGGCTTGGCCCGGAACCGGAACCGGACTGGCCCGAGTCAATTTCTTTAATTTGTACGGAGTATAAAATTTCAAATGTGCGCCAACATTTATAGACTTAATTCTTCAAAATCTTCCCCTCATCACTATCCATCCAAAAAAGAAGATTTAAATGAATTTAGATTATCTGCTCCATTTTTAGGGTCTATCCTGAAGATTTGTGTATGTATCAATTGAAGGTAATAATTGGCTACAAGCCTACAACTGCATAAACAAGCTCACATGAACGAACCTATTTGGAAACAAATAAAACACAGAAAATTGTAATTGTACATAGAAATTGCCTATATTTCCTATACACAACACAATCAAATAATAAACCAATATTTATATTTTTTTCTTTCTATCACCAAGCAAGAAAGAAATGTACTTTAAAGTGGACACTCCATTTGTCTTGAGGTTTTGTATGACCAAATGTACTCCTGACATAACAATTGTACCAATTGTAAAAATGAAAACTTGATCAGAGTGAATCAAAATCTACAACATTGTACGAAAAGGCGACGGGCTCTATGCTTCTTTAAATATGGACCATCTGGTTTAGGCATGTGAACTGGACTTCCCACCCACTCCCACCCTAATCTGCAATATCCAAAGCTCTCATAAGTACATATGAATTCAAGAAACACACTAAAAAACACTGAAGTGACTGGATGTGAATGAAGTTCAACTTACACTGGAAAGGCAAAGGAACCTCTACTGGCATTTGAGGGATGATCATAGGCACTTGATCCAGAAGGTTCCAAAATGCCCTCCTCCTCTCTTGGGCAAATTGTCTCTTTAGTCCCTTCTTCTCCTTCCCACTCTGCATCCGTATCTCCGCTCCCGCTCTCCTCACCCTACTAAAACAATGGAATCACTAAACCTCTCTATGCAGCTAAGGTGTCAAAAATAAGAAGTAAACTTCACCTTTTCAAATGATAGAACAATGTCTCTGTAGCTCCCACTATAGTTTTTCTCTTCATTTTCCCCGTACTTCAGCTGTTTTATTTTTTTCACAAAAAGAAAAAACATTCCATTTACAAAGAAAGAATGATTAGTGTTGGAATATACAAAGGGCAACCTAATGCACATTGACGTTTTCACAAACCGGTTGTCCGAGTAAGGGTCCCACCACAAGGTGTGTGTATAGGACTATAGGAGTAAGCCTCCATTGTCATTTTGACAAGCGGCAGGGGCGGAGGTGGAGGGGGTGGCCAACCAGGGCCCGGCTCAGCCCAAATTTTAAAATTGCTTATATTTTAATGAAAAAAATTATGAGTAAAAATTTATCTGCGAAAATCTTTGTACCGACGCAATACAACTCTTCCTCCTGCCTACGCCCCTGACAAGCTCCCAACCCACGACCTTTCACTTACACGATATCATAACTGGTGCGCGTAGGATCCCTTTGTTGTTTTCGAATATAATGAAAAACTAAAAAAGTGCAATCCATCAATATATTAGAGTAACCTTGCGGCTAACATGTCTCAACTTTTTGTTTGTACTAGGAAGATTATTGGAAGGCTCTGATTTCCTATCCTCCATTGCATGAATTTCTCCATCCTCGGAGAAGCAGAAAACTATGTAATCCTCTTCCTCGAAGTGGGGCCAACTGCTGTCATCTCCTGTTTCGACAGAGCAATCTGTTTCCTTTTCCCGCAATGATTTCCCATCACTTTCTTCGTTTTTGATGCTATATATGGGATCAAGATTCATCAAATGTAAAAGGAAGCTGCCTGGTTTTGGTAGTATTATGTACTGTAATGTTAATATGAAAAGTATAAGAATAACTCAGTAAGAATTCTTGCTTGTGTGAGGATGAGAGGATTAAGGTGATGACACGAGGGGATTTAGATTTGAATTTTGAAAAAGGTGAGTATTATAATAACGGATATGAACTTATGAAGCATGAAGAGGGGAGTTATAGTTACATTTTTACATAATAATGACAAGAGATTTAATAGGAGATAACCATCAATTATGAATTATAGCTTAGAAATCTCGCAATGCCAATTAGTTTCTAAAAATATACGTAGTATTGTCTCAGGATTGCAAAAAAATGCTCTTTTTACATGGTAGTTTGTACCAAGTCATTGTAGAGGCCCGTCAAATTGTTTATGCACAGACAATTTGTTTATATTTTGCAAAGCAAGACTGTTGTGCAATCTAATTATATTTTGTCTGATCTCCTCTAATCTGTGTACAGACAATTCGATCGACGTTTTATGAAGAAAACTGTTTTTCACATAAACAAAATAAATTGTCAATATCACAATCAATTTAAATTGTCTGTAACACAAATAATTTGACCGGTGTGTAGAAAAGAAGTGTCTCATTGTTTGTGAGTCTGTGACACTGGCAATTTAAATTTTTTGTGATACAAATAATTTTTTTCAGTGTGAAAACCGATTTTCTTCATAAAACAACGATCAAATTGTTTATGCACAGAAAATTTGACTGACATTTACAATGGCGTGTACAATGGCATGTACACAAAGCAAGACTTTTTTGCAATCTGTTTATATTTTGTCTGATATCATCTCTGTTTGATACATGTGTAGTCTATTTATATTATAATTGTCAAAATTTGATCTAGTGTGATCCATTTAAATCTAATTTCATCTGTTCTGGAGTATTTTATTTAAGTTCCCTTTCTATTTATATCGCATGCGAATGGAAAAAATGGGAAAGTTTCCGAAATAGGACTAAAACAGATTCAAAATTCCAAAAGAGGACTGTCATTTTTTTATCCCAAAGTAGGACTAATTATTGTCATGTTTAGAAAATACTGACATGTATGAAGTCTAGTACTGTCAAAATATGGCAGTAATTAGTCTTATTTTGGAAATAAAAATATGGCAGTCCTATTTTGGAATTTTCTAACTGTTTTAGTCTAATTTCGGGTAATATCTCGAAAAAAATAGGTCAACAATTCAAAGTCCGACCGAATTAGATTCCATTATTCAAAATTAATGAGTATTCAGAATATATTATGCATGATCTTGTGTGTTTAAATTTGGTTAATGCTGGACAACTATACACTTAAAATTGAAGTTAGAGCTTGAACCGAAAAGTTTAAATTCTGGGTAATTATCATAAACTAAAGTATGGGCACTTTTTATTATTTTAACCTAATAATGAACTTTTAGTATTCCAATCTAATTGTTCCATAATACTATTATTGCTTTATTATTTTCTATAGTCTGCTACTTCTATTCTTAGACTTTGATACAAGAATGAAGTAATGACATATTATGATGAAGTTAAATTATACTATCTGTTCATTCACCAGATAATTCTATGTAATTATTCTATAGAGACCAAGGGATATGCAATATTTTGTGCAACAATTCTAACCTTTTAAAATGTTATTTTCTCTTATGGACGATTCAAAGTGGACATGGCATTTTCCCAACTTTAATTTTCTTAATAGCTTTGACTATATTGTGATCAGTTGTATCTGAGTGAGTTCTAAATTGGGTATCTAGGATCTGCAATTCTTTTCAATACTGGCTTTACCGTTTTTTTGTTTAAACATTTAATTTTTAGATTGAATTCTTTGACATTGAATTTCAAATTATTCCAATTTAAACAATTTGAATCATTTAATTTCTTTTTTCTTCCTTGATCATATTGTTTTCAATTTATTTCCTGAATCATACCAATATCTCTTCACAAGGTTAAATGATGAGTCTCCTTGGCTCATGGCATACCAATCTTATATAGCAGTGCCCTGCTTCAACCTTGGTTCATCAATCTGAGAAAAAAGTTGATGATTTGATTCTTAAAAATTGAGTTTTATGATGAGGCTTTTATATAATTTGAGCTAGAGGTGAACCGAAAGCACTATGCCCATGCATAAACGGTTGAATCGGACAAGTCAATCCTTTTATCATTTTTTTTTTAAATTTGATTCATGAACATTGTGTCTTTACGAGATCAGAAACATATTTTCAAATATTAGCATAAAAGGGTGAATCATGTGGTGCATATTTTCACATTCAAGTTACCATTCCTCCTCATTTACCTACTCCAAATTTTTTGACATTTATTTTTAAAATTTATGACTATTTCTATTTTGTGTCTTATGTAAAATATTACTGATGCTGGTTACAAAAATGGTTGAGATAAATTTCAAAAAAATAATAACTATTTCTATTTTAAGTGGCTTATGTAAAATATAATAAAGGCATATATAGTGGTTGTGATTTTCTTCTGAGTAGTAGAGAAATGATGCAGCTCTCCATTTATTTTCTTTTGTTGGCTAATATGTCTTAAAAAATTATGTGAAGCACTATATGCTGACATTCTTTCAGTTTTATCCTTTCACAAGTATAAATGCACATGAGAATTGCAATTCATTTGTTAATTTGCAGCTTATAGTGCCATCCAGTTTTACTTTATGTATTATAAGTAGATTATAAGTTTGAAAGGATACAAGTTTTGGGGAGTTATTAATCATCAAGAAATCCTAATCATTCCTCCTCATTTACCTACTCCAAGTTTTTTGACATTTTTTTTTTTAAATTTATGACTATTTCTATTTTGTGTCTTATGTAAAATATTACTGATGCAGGTTCCAAAAATGATTGAGATTCATTTCAAAAAAATAATAACTATTTCTATTTTATGTGGCTTATGTAAAATATAATAAAGGCATATATAGTGGTTGCGATTTTCTTCTGAGTAGTAGATAAATGTTGCAGCTCTCCCTTCATTTATTTTCTTTTGTTGGCTAATATTTCTCAAAAAAATATGTGAAGAACTATATGTTGACATTCTTTCAGTTTTATCCTTTCACAAGTACAATGCACATGAGAATTGCAATTCATTTGTTAATTTGCAGCTTATAGTGCCATCCAGTTTTACTTTATGTATTATAAGTAGATTATAAGTTTGAAAGAATACAAGTATTGGGGAGTTATTAATCATCAAGAAATCCTAATCATACTCCCTCATACTCATAATATATGTTAGGGAAGATGATATCACAATCTGCATATATACAAGTAGCTTGAAATATATTTAGAGGCACAACTTTGTTAAAGTTCCATAAAATAATTAAAATGGGTTCACATTTGCCTCTATGGGGTTTTTTCAAATGCAGGGCACCAGGGGGAACTATTTTCACCCTGTAGGATGATATAGATTATAGACTAAGCAAGTTTTGAAGCATATCCATGGATTCTGTCACACATTATAAGAAAGAGAAGCTGCATATGCAACGGTCATATTTACTAAGCTCAACTCAAGTTTACTTAGGTTTTATGATCTCTTTTTGTATATTTTGAATTCCTCATCACGCAATTTTGTGCATCGCTTACTTGGAACCTTTGAGGATAAAGACAACAAATTTCAGTTTCAAAATTTAATACTTCGTACTTTATTTATGTAATCTGTTTGATAGATAATAATGGAGTTCATGCTTCATTAGTGTGCCTTTCTAAAATCAGTGTGTACCACAAGAACATTTTGTACTATATGTGGATTTTATTGTGAATACGAGTTAGTCGTTTTCATTGGATTTAATACACGGGTTAGTTTTATCACTATTAAAACAACTTTTTAAAATGTATTAATGGGATTTTAAGCTGAATTTATTAATGGTTTACTACTATTAGTTTGTTTAATAAATTCTTAGTAGTTAGTAGTTTCCTGCCTTGAGCATAGAAAAAGATATACTTCATATATTCTTTTAACCAATGAACTGGGTTACAATTCAATTATCTGAAACAAGAATATTTGTGAAACATGTCATTGTTCAAATGGTCTCATTGGTCTACGTAGTTCTCAAGTTTCATGTTATTCTTCCTATTAATGTAAAATAGAATTTGAGGGTCTATGTTATATTTTACAGTTTTTAGGTGATAAAATCTGAGTGACTCGAAGTTTGTGATATGCAAGTAATGTAACGACGAGGGAAATCAGAAAAATTGTAAAATATTGTTTACAATATGTGTGTTATTAAATTTCTAATACGGAGTATTTGTTAAGATCAAATATTGTTTACAATTTCTAATCCCTCCGTCCGGTTAAGATTGTTTCATTTTTTCTTTTGGGCCTATTCCACTGACATTGCCTCTAAATCATCTTACTTTATTTTTATTTTATCAATTTAAAATCAATCATATTATTTATTTATTCATGGTTACTCTCATTCACATAATAAAAATAATATGATCTATAATTAAATTTATAGATTAACATGTAATATCATCATTTTACATTCCGTGCAACGCACGGGTGAAATACTAGTTATCATAAACTAAAGTATGGGCGCTTCTTTACCATCATATGATTCGATTCTCTTTGCTTTTAAATTTCATTCCGAAACAAAAGTATGTCGATTTAGGGGTCAAAATTGTTGTAAATTCCTGAGAATGACAATGGTGAATTGTTCATCCTTGTCATCAGGACACTAATCTAGTTTACATCCTTGTAATCATAGATAGACAGATAGCTAGTTTTAATGTTGCCAGCAAAATATGTAGAATAACTCTTTGATGATTCATCACCAAGCTCAATCAGTATAAATAGGGGGTTGGTGATGCCTTGTAAAGTAACTCAGAAATTCAGAAAATATTCAGAGATTAAGAAGAAGTGATTTAGAGCTTTTTATCTATATATCTATCTCCCAAATTTGATCTTCATCTTCTTCATTTCACAACACGTTATCAGCACGAATCTGCTCAAAAGTCTTCCAGAAATCATCATCTCCTACAGGTATTAAGATTAGTATCTACTATCTTCTTTCAGTATTCAAACCTGAAAATTATTCTGCCTTTTTAAATAAAGTTTCTATGATATACGGAGAGAAAGTATAGATAAACATACCTTCAAAATGTATCTTGATAAATCCTTGTTACCGGTGCAAA